GTAATATTAAACTAATTGCAAAATTTGTATCACTTTGTAAAATAAACATATAATTAAAAAAAAAAAAAAAAAAATTACCACATACAATACATAATATTATTGCTATTTCCTTATCTTGCTACTTTTAATTATTATTTCCTCATGTAGAATAAATATTATTGATACATCCATAACTTTATATTGTATAATTATCTTACCTTAGTTTAATGTTAGCCGAAGGCCCTGGCAGCCAGTGCTTTAGTTTGTAAGTGGAATAATTATTTATAATTGTTTCTCTTTTAAATAAATAAAATAAATAAAATAAAATATTTTATTACTATTCCTTTCGAATTTCATAATGATCGGCTAAAATGGAGGCGCAAGATTGCAGAGAATTGATCAGACGAAATTCCACCACCAACGCGAACATTCGCCATGTGATTCTTTTCGATTTGCGGTGTAATTCACCGCCAATACAAATATTCAGTAAATTCTCAATTTCATATGAAACCATTGCACCGTCTATAAAGACTATTTCTAAGGGGTTCGGAAGTAAAGTCGTTGCTGGTGATGAAAATTGGTTTTATAAATGCGATCCAGAAACCGAACAGCAGTCCATGGTATGGAGCTCAGCAGGAACAAACCCACCCGTGAAATCTAAGCAACGAAATTCAGCAGCTGATATCAGTCCACTTCGCCCAGCCTAAAATGGTAGCTGCTATTCCATTGGAAAAGAGTCAGACGATAAATGTAAAAATGATACACCGAAGAGTTTTAAAAAATTTGTTGGAAAACGGGAGGAAAGAGGATTTGTAGCGCTACTTTTTACATTCTGACAACGATGGTGTGTTGTCATCTACTGCTGAAATAACGAGTAATTTTATTACGATCGATGGAATCGAAGGAATACGTCCAGCACCATATGCCCCGAATATAACAACTTGTCATTTGAGGTAAAATACAATAAAAAAATTTTAAAAATTTATGTGGAGAAGATAAAAACGGACAGAGATTACGAACAAATACAACAAGATTTTTTTGCCTAACTTTTGTTAGCCACTTCGTATATAGATATGCCGAAAAAAGGTGAAATACGAAAGTGCAAATGAAAAAGTCATACAAGAAAAGTAGAACTGAGAACTCTCTTGGCTTCCAAAATCTTCAGTGTCCCCAAACTGGGACGGGTTCTTATTTCATCTACCTCAATAAAAAAAGATTTGGTGAAATATTTGTTAGAGATGGAGTAAAAGTACTGGGGACTAACAAGGACAGATGTTCGGTGATGCTTGGGTTGCCAAATTGCAAAAAAGAATAATATTAATAATAAGTACTCTAACAAGCACGAAGAGAAGTCACGTTAGATGCTAGAAGATAGCTCCACCACCTGAACTTAGCAGTAATTTAAAAAGAAAGCAGGCAGATTTAATGACTTTTCCCCATAAAAATAATTTGATATAAGAGAACGGAAAATCTCTTGCAGGTTAATTAAAAAAAATATTCTTACGGAGCCAATTTGATTAATTTTTAGTGGTTTTCGTTAAGTAAATTTTGTTACTTTTCTTAAACACCCGAGATTTAATTTGGTATTCTGGCGAACTGGTTACAATGTTTGAAAAAAATTTGGCAAAACTGCTTTTTTCGTCCATGTCAAATTACATTTGCCAGTTGATAAAACAAAAAAGAAAAATATTCTCATCGAAGTGGAAGACGGTGCACTTCAAAAGAAATAAGTTTTATTTAAGCGTTTATTAAATCATAAATATTTGAACCTAATTATGGAAAATATGCCTGGACAACAAAAAAAAAAGTTGAATGAAAACGTTATCTTACAAATTAAGGGGCTATTTTTTAGTCTGGAAAACTTCTTAAAATACGGTTTTTTACACTTTTTTCTCATCTTCAGTGAATTCCAGACCTAAAATATGCCTACCCGTTTTGGTTTTTTATTTGTTTTTTTTTCAAACTTACAACACAAAATCAAACATCAGATATTTTTGTTACCTCCTATTTCGCTGGTAACAAAATTTACAGGTTGACAGTGAACTCAGGATACGAAATGGTAACAAAATTTACTGAATGGTAAATTATAATACCAAAGTGAATATTGTTAATTCGACAGAAAAGGCCAGTTTAAAATATATTTAAACTTGAAAATGACTTTTGAAGTAGCCCGATCCACAAAGTTTTTGAAATAAAATAATAATTTTTATCTTAAATAAATACATTTTATATTATTTTAAGGTGCAAATAATGGGGTACACTATACCTTATTAGCCGACATGCTTTACCGCATTACCAACCAACTTTTTCGATGCCCTCTTTCTGGCTTTTGAGATATTTTTTCAATTATCTCCATAAATGGTCAGCTTTTCTCTTGTAATATTTGAAAACTCAGTTTTCATTAATGTTGCTAAAAAAAACTTTGGATTTTACAAAAGAAAATAAAATACATTATCCGCAGTTACTAACTTTTCACTAATCTTTTTTGCAAATTTTGAAATTTTAACCTCCAACTTTCCTCTTTATTATTCGCCTTATTTTACGTCATTTTCATTCTTTAGCTTTTCACAACTTGTTGGCGCGAAAATCATTAAGGAGCCGTCAAACATAAAAACCCTGCAAGAACTAGCTGATGGGTACACCAATACACTCACACGATTTCGGGCAGCACTAACACATATGCAAATTTTTTTGTATATCTTTCTCTTCTGAGCACATAGAAATTGAAGAATAATGCAGTTGAATGGATTAACCTTTCTCCCATCTTTCCGGCAATTTTCGGATCCCGGCTCGAAAATAGGAGTCCTCTTTTAACGCTATCCAGGAAGCAATCCATTTTTCCAATTCTTCAAAGGATTGAAAATGTTGATCTGCCAGGTCGTGTGCCATCGAACGGAATAGGTGGAAGTCAGAAGGGGCGACATCTGGGGAATACGGCGGGTGGGGCAAGACTTCCCATTTCAGCACTTTTGCGCCGTGAAGCCGAGCATTGTCGTGTTGGAGGATGACTTTGTCATGTCGCTCTTGATATTGTGCTTTTCTTTTAGGGCGCGACTAAGGCGCATCAGTTGCATTCGGTAGCGATCTCCTGTGATGGTCTCACCCGGTTTTAAGAGCTCGTAGTAAATCACACCGAGCTGATTCTCTTCCACCACCATGTTTGTCTTCGACATCGAAATCACCATTTTTAAAATGTTGAAACCACTCCCGACACGTTCTTTCACTGGGATCAGCATCACCGTAAGTTTCTGAGAGCATTCGATGCGCTTCAGATGCATTTTTTTTTCGAATTGTAACAGAAAAGTAACTTTCCCGCAAATGACGAGAATTAGGCGCATAAACGGACATTTTCGAGCGTGAATAATACGAAAACAAGAACAACTGTCACTTAAACGGCGATGACAATTCGTTAGGCACTGTCCACACTCATTTTAAAGGCATTATCATCTATGTATTTCAACCAGCCTCAGCCGGTACAGCCACCTATCGGAAAACAGCGGAAGCAAAGGAGCCACCATCCTGACGGAGGCGCTCATTGAGCTGAGGAATTGCAGCACTATTGAAAACTTTTGTATATGCGGTTTAGCTTATAATATTTTGCTGATTTTTGAAAACGAATTTATTGTTGGGTTGTTATTTCTTTTCTTTGCTCTATAAACCTTTGTACCTGATTTATGTAAAAATATATAATAGAAAATTTTTGTCAAAGCTGATTTCCTTCGTCATCAATGCTGTCGCTCATCTGTGAGAGAATGACGCACACGTATACAAATGTAAACGTCACCTTTGTCATTTCGGCCATAAGAAAGTGATGGGAAAATCGTACTACGTGCTGATGGCATATGACAACATGCATTCCTGGCATATGTTAGCTCAAATGATCGGAAGCCTTTTTGCAGGGTAATTATTAGTTTCGAATTACATCTCAAAATGACGAATTTCGAAATTTAATTTTAAGAGCGTTCATACGTAGCATTAATAATTTATGGATATTGGATTTCAAAATAATTTAATCAAAAGTTCTCTTAAACAATACTCAATTCCTTTGAAAGTAATTCAAAGAGGAATAACAAGAACGGCACCTTGTACCTTTCATGAAACTCATCAATTTGAATTATATTTTATTGTAGAGTACGAAATTTCATGCTTTTAGATGCTCTTTTAAAGGATTTTTGATAAAAACCCTAATATCTGAATAAATCGGTTGAATGAGGGATATGCGATATAGTACTTCGGTTCCAAACATTTTTGGCGATAAGGTTTATTTATATGTAGCTAGGAAATTTCATGATCTCAAATACTATTTTGACCAAAATCGCATATCTGAAAAATTCTATCTCTTGGAGCTATAGTTGTTCCATTTCGATAGATTTTAGTGCCAGTATTGATTTATGTGAGCAGATTACTAAATTTAACGCTCTTAGATGCTTTATTTGACGGAACTATGACCCAAAATCTGATATCAGGTTTGGTTAAAATATTTCAAAAACTGAGAGACTAAAGTAAATAAATGAATTGTAAAAAAAGTCGTTCTCATCATATCGGTTTAACTTTTAATGCATCAGAAGTCAAATTATTGGTAAATGAGTGCATTCACACACTGCAATTATCTAAAATTAAATTGCAAAATAATCTTGGGGTTGACACGTAGGAATTACTTTTTTTCATACCAAAATCCGTGAAGTGTATAGAAACTGCTTCAAAATTGCTACTTTTTACGTCACTTTTACCGTAAAGGCCTGCTTAATTGAAAAGGCCATCATCCAACAATGCCTGTTAATTAATCTAGGTAAGCGACATTAAATAATTTTAACTAACCAAAATATGTATCAGCTCCTCCATAGCTACGTGTCTCATATCAGCATATAAATTAATTCCTCCCCTTTCCTGACAAAGTATCTGTGTGAATGCGTAAACGTTTCACGTTCTCAAATACAACCTTGTAAATTTGTTGATCAGCTGGTGTAAGGAAATCGATAAATATTATCGATAAGTACAATATTCGTATACAAAGAAGAAAAAGCAGTGATATGAAATTTTGCAGCAAAACAAAACAAAAATAAATAAACAAATTCTATATTTAATTACAAAGCTTAATATTTGTGCTCACGCTCATCCATTGGGCTGCACAGTAAATAATGTTTGATTAAATATTAAACAGTGCGATGTTTAGTAACAAAAGTGCTTAGTGAATGTGCGCACTTGTCCATTGACCACCAAATTATACGCGGAGGAAAGCCTTGAAAATCTTAACAACAATGAGTTCTTTTTTTAATAGTTTCAGCAAGTTTTCGAGTAAACGTGAAAACGCTATTAAAGAAGCGCTCATCAACACACTAATAGAAAATTCACGTGAAATACAATATGAAGTTAAGCAAAGGGGGTGTGGTTAGTAATTTTTACACATATTGAAAAATAAAAAAAATAAATAATATATACATATGTACAATCACAATAACTGATTTCGTTATTCTTTATACTAATCCCATGCACTTAAACTCAGAATGTTTGGAATTATGCGAAGCCACGAGCACTCTCTGTACAACATTAGAAGCTGTTTTCCTGCATGGACTGAAAGATTCACTGCTTTGGAACACCATCAATGTCATAGCTGGCGATGAAGAACGGCGACCTGAGCCCAGTTTTTGGGCGCCATTGTTAATATTTATGCACAAGCAAGTCATTGAGCAGGTAATAATATGCATATAACTTATAAAAAAAAACATTTCTAAATTCCTTTGATCACCTAGATCCAATCGCTTTCCCAAATCACTAGTGAAATTGGTCAATGTCGCGCTTGGATACGCCTCTCACTCAATGAATCCCTTTTTTCCGCTTATTTGAATAATATGCGGAAAAGCAGTTCATCGCTAAGTCCTTATTATAAAAAATTTGCATTGCTCAAAGACAATGACGGCTTAGAAATGGCTGCAAAAGCTATGGAGGGCATTGAAGCATTTGTACAATTTAATTTACCCGTAAATTCGAGTTTACTGAATTATTGGCCAGATTATGCTTTACAATTATCAGGGCTTTGGACGCCAGCTTTGAAGTCATGTCCGGTAAATGAATCACCATTTACATATATACATAAGTAACATTTATGAACATTTATTTTTACACACATTGTTTGTTGCAGATAAGTAGTGGCGTTGATATCGCCGATACGCTGGGCATTGAAGATGCAGAAGTAGCTGAAGCAATGGTAACATCACCAACTCCTCGACCGATATGCACTAATGAAGCTTTTTCGCAAAAAATCGAAAACTTGCCCAGTATACAATCACCAACCGCTGCTGAAATTGCGGCACAACGCGAAAATGTAGATATGCTCTTGAAAGCTGTTGATGAAATGCAAATGATAAGTGAGGAAAATGCAGATGAAGCAACCAACAGGGAAAAAAATGTTGAAGGAGACAATGAGTTTCCTCCAAAAGTTGGCAAAATAAAGAAGAAGCGAAAAAAATCGAGAGAACTCGCAGAGGCGCGTATACAGGACTATATTACCGGTGAAGCAGGTTATAAAACAGAGCCTACCACACCAGTTACACCTGGAAACTCTCTTATGAATTTAATGCACACATCGTGGTCCGCTGATGAAACTTCCGCATCCGAATTGAATACACCCGTCTTGGAGAGACCTTTATACAGGCGTGCTTCGAGTAATGCAAGTACGCTCAGCTATAATACCCTGCTGGGCAAACATGAACGCGAAAAGCTGCAAATACAAATAAAAAACAATGCATTAACCGTTGCGCGGACAGCTGTGAATCATGTGAACGCGAATGATGTTGCTGAGCACGAAGGTGATAACACCGGTAGTGATTCGAATGATAGTCGTGTAAGTCGAATGTTTTTGACGCTTATATTGCTGCACAGTAAATAACTTAGTACTTTTGTGAAATTTATAGCTAACTTTAGATTTTGAAGTAGTGCCAAACTCAAATTTGGACAAAATGAATGTTAGTGAAATACAAGAGATGTTAGAACTGCTTTACAAGCTGGCACGACAACCAGGTTTGGATGCACAGGGTTTTCTGTGTAAATCTTGCCAACATCCGCTGGGAATTGGCTACTCAAATTTTCAGTAAGTTTGTTAATTACCAAAAATATACTGAAATTTGTATATCTTTATTATTTCAATTCCATTTCCTTTTATAGAGTTTGCGGCTTCAGTGGTAATTATTTCTGTGATAACTGCATGGACATGGAACAGATGATGATACCAGCAAAAATCATATATAATTGGGATTTTCGAAAGTATGCTGTATCGAAACGTGCTGCAGTTTTTTTAACCGAATTTCGCAATCAGCCCGTTATTGATTTAGAAGTAAATGCTACTCCTCTGCTATTCAATCTACATAAATATTTTTTTTTGCAGCTACTAAATCCAGAGATTTATAATGCCTCTGATGCAATGGCTGATCTGCAGTCTTTGCGTATACGTTTGAATTTTTTGCGTGCCTACCTCTACACCTGTGAACCAAAAAGTATACAACTACTGCAATTACAATTCTATGGGCGCGAATATCTCTATGAGCACATACATTTATATTCCATAAGTGATTTGCATTTAATATTGCGTGGTACACTCTATCAACAGCTGCAGAAGGCTTTCAAAATAGCCGAAGCACATGTACTCAAGTGTCCATTGTGCAGCGTGAAGGGCTTTATTTGTGAAATATGCCAGAGTTCACGTGTGCTGTATCCATTTCACATTGAAACCACATATAGGGTGAGTTCATATTAGTTTCTTCTTTATTTTGTTTTTTTGCTAAAGGCTACAAAGTTATAAATATCATTTTTAGTGTGAAATATGCGGTGCTGTATTTCATGCGCAATGTCTAAACGATAAGCAGCCGTGCCCGAAATGCGAGCGTAGGCGTAAACGAGATGAGTTGAGTTTGGAGGATATAAACATTGGTAGTAGCGTGCAAAGTTTGCCATCATCCTCAACTATTGTGGCTGACGTTGTTGAACAAGGGTAGAGTAATCGTGTGTGTTAAACGCGGAGGATAGCATCGGAAATTGTTAAGATTTCTTAGCAACAAAGCTTAGTAGTAAGCAAACACTTCTGAATAAAAGTTAAAGGATAATAAATGTACGGTGGAGTGAAGAGATCTGTCTTATATCGGTTAAAAGTATATTAAATAACTCCAATTACTCATTAATAGTTTTGGTATAATTTTTACAAAACTCATATATGCTTTACAATTATTTTATGATACATACAAATGTAATTGTTATTTACTCAATATAAGCACTGTAACGCATATTTGCACATTGTATACACGAAAACAAAACAATAAAAAATTTATATAAATGTGCGCAAAAAATATTAAAGACAAAGCTTTGCTTTAAATAAACGCTTATGATGAAAGCAAATTACTTTATATTAATTATAAATGTTATACATGTTACACATATATATAAGTATATATGTTATGTAAAAATGTATTAAATAAAAAGCTATACATGTTGATATTTACAATTCAAACACTTTCTTATAACTTTGATTTAGGCACGTTGAGGTGACGTGCCTGTAGCTCGTTCTTCAATAGCTCCAGCACATCTTCCGCACAACCCCAGGCCAATGTTACACCACTACCACCGTGACCATAATTATGTATGACAATTTTATTGCCTTTAAATGAGGAAAATCCATTTTTGAATACAATTTTTTATTAATGCACATTAAACTACCTACCACCTTTCTCGGCCTCCAAACGTAATGTGTCACGTCCAGGACGTAAACCTACCCAATCGAAGAGATGTTGCGCATGCTCTAAACCGGGCACAATTTTCCGGCAACCATTGATAATGAACTTTTTATCATTTGGACATACTTGAGTGTTGTTATCATTCTCCTGATGGGTGCCGCCCAAAACGACCGATTCACAACTGAAACAATAGCACATAAGTGCAATTTAGAGCTTAATGGAAACGGCCGCAGTAATAACTACTCACTTTGGTATAATATAATTGCCAACATCACTTTCATCCAGCAATGCACAGTACAGCCAATTTGCCTTGACTCGTGTTACCTGCCCACGCACCGGAAACATGCCCACATCTTGCACACATTCACGTGAACCCAAGCCAGTGCAATTAATTATAACGTCATAATTTGACTTGGCTATGAATTCTTGGAGATTTTCAACTTTTTGCTGAACAATTTTTCCACCATTCGCCTGGAAACGTTTCATTAAGTAAGGTAACAGCTTAACCGGCTCAGAGGTGTAGGTAATAAAATGCATGCCCTGGCTGGAAGAGAAGCACTTATTTATGATTATTTATTATTTATGTACATAAATATGTAGTTTGTGCACTCTTTTTATTTTAGTACCCAATGAAGAATTAATTTTTTCACTTACGTATACTTATTTGCCCTTCCCACATTTAATTCATCCAATTGCCTCTGTGTAAGTTGACGACAACCGTAGACAATATCCTTCCAGAAGACTTCATTATCCATTGCAGTTGTTGTCAATCTTAGGCAGGGTATAAGACAAACCCCTGCCTCTCCAGCATCATCTGATAACCAGATTTGTTCGAGAAAATCGTGCATATGCTTTGACCAACGACTGTAATGGAAATACGCTGATAATTTCATATCTACAGACATACTTGTTGATAGCGTGAACTGATCAAAAAACTCAGCTGTTGTTTGGCTTTAATCTCTACGGTGTTTATAAATACTCAAGAAGCATAAATAGCAACAAATTAAATTGAAAACGAGTTTGTTTGGTAAATAAAGATTTTTGAGTGTCTTGCATATAGTATATGTACTTAGCATATAGCTGAGGGTATGTATTTATATATATAATATAAAATAATAAATCAACTTACTGCACTCTCTCTGTGGGTGTGCCGCCCAGCAGGTACGGACCCCATAGTCCTGCCGACCCATCCCCAGTTGTATTTGGCGAGAAAGCTTCAGAGAGTACTGTCACTGCAACTGGATTACCGGTAGATTTCAAATACTCCAAAATTTGTATGGCTGAAGAAACTCCACTGACACCACCACCAATAACGGCAATTTGCATTTTTTTATCGGTAATAAAATCTGTTAGCACGTAACAACAGTGCACTGCACAGAGAAGCGCACAACCAACTAAATTGAGCAAATTTGTATAGTCAATTGTTGGAAGCAATAATCTAAATTGATTTAGTATTCACATAGACACAAATGTACTTATTATCATTGTTTGATTTTTTTTTTAATTATTCAAACACATTCTTCTGCTTATCAGCACTTTAAATGAAGAAAAGTCATTAGTTCGATTAAGTGCATGTTCTCTTTTTCAGAATGCATTATTAACATTTATAAACAATCAGTGACAGCCAACTTTTCATCAAATAGTTGCTGCAGTATCTCTTTTTCCTGCAGGAAATCTTTGTCGTACTTCCGGTTATGTAGTTCCGGCGTATCTCAACAGCGGCTTCAATACAATTACTTCGATATCTAAATAATAAAAAAGAAATTCCATTACGGGCATTAAATTATCACATGCAGTCGTCCTCAGTTTTCTTAGTTTTAATCTCAAAATAAAGCCCTCTCAATGTCACGAAACCCCAACAAAATAAAAATTCTGCTCCTTCTTTATATTTATTAATATGTATGTAACATGGCAACCCTAATTAGGTACAAGAAAGATAGATGATAAAGACGAATATTGGAAGAGGTTGAAGACGAGATAGAGAGGCAGTTAGTAGTTGAAGGCCATCGATGTGAAAAAGTTGTTAAAAAGTTGTAATTAAGAAAGAAGTTGAGAAAAGCTGAAATTATACTTATAAATGTCTTATTTTCCTAAAGTTGTATTTTAAAAAATCGAAGTTGTTTAATTAACTCTTATAATTGTTATTTTGAACTGAAACACTAAATAGTTTTTAAGCATAATCTAATACTTTATTACAATAATTTATATTTAATGTCATTCGAGTTTAAGTGAACAAAATTGAATTTAATTAAACTAAATTGAAGTAAATAATAAATAAATCTGAAATATTAATAATAATAAACTGAAATACTACACCACTTTATTTACATGTATGTACATTTGACTGTTTTATAAGTTTTTTTGCGAAGACGTTAATTATTATGGACTCTCTGAACGTCCATGAAAATTCTGTTTAAAAATTTACTGCAGCAAAGTGAACAACCTTATTTCTAGTTCTTCACCATAGAGGCCGCCATTAAAGTACCTCTTTAGTTTTACATAACAACCAATTTTAGTACATCTTAATTACAGGGTGTCGAAATTCTTTTTATTACAGAAATGCTATTATTTTCTGGTGTATTTAGCACCCTGTGTTAAGCTGTGTTTTTTGTATCTTTTATAGAGCTGCCAATATTTTTGATGAAACATTAAATTATGCCAACAGAAATTCCATTTCTGGCGTTACGAACCTCATAGATATAAAATAAGTGAAAAATACTGAACTCATAACTCGCTTACTTAAAGTGTATACAATTTAGTTGGGAAGTATGGTACTACCTTTGTTAGTGCTTACAGAAAAATTCCGCATTCTTTGCACCCTGTAGCAAAGCTGACAAATTTTCAAATTTTTGGGTTTCTCAGTATCAGATAATTTTCTTGTCTCATTTCCGTATTTATCTCATTAGTGGCTTTAAGTCGGGTTTGTTGGTTGATTTTAAATATGGATTGTTCCCTTAGACAACAACTTTCAAAACTGAAGATGATTAATATTTATTTTCAATGGGATTATGCAAGACCTTTTTTAAAATTTTTCTTAAACGAAGTACTTCACTGCCTATTTTTTCTCCACTGCGGCGCGGCAGTCTTAATTGTACCAGCTGTTTTTGTTTGTAGGTAGATTGAAATTCCGTCTACAAGTACCTGGTACCGACTTTTGGATAAATAATTAATTGAAAAGGTTTTTGAACCCTTTTAAGAAAAAAATTGAGTAAGTAAAATTAAGTTTTGAAATAATTTATAATTAATAAATTAAAGACATTTTAGACATATAAAATAAATATAAAAACGAGGAATATTTAGGGAGGAATTCCGTGGAAGATGTGGTTAGAGAAAAAGTTTGGACCAGTGAGCGTCCGCCATTAAAGTATCTCTTTAGTTTTACACAACAACCAATTTTAGAACATCTTAATTACAGGGTGTCGAAAGAAAGCCATAAGGTAGTGCATAAGAAAATAAATTCTTTTTATTACAGACGTGCTATTATTTTTTGGCGTATTTAGCACCCTGTGTTAAGCTGTGTTTTTTGTATCTTATATAGAGCTCCCAATATTTTTGATGAACATAAAACTGCTCTTTCACCACAATTAGGGCATCCTCGACTCGCCTTTGGTTGTCTCTTAAAAACTGCAAAACACTACATTTTCCTTGAACTCTGATACGACAAACTTTATTTTTGAAGCTCAGTGGTTCCGAAATAAAACTACTCTCTCCTGTTACTAGAGATTGATCTGTTGTAATCTAGGAGTTTTGAATAAGTTCACGACAAATTGCTTCAACAAAAGTGGAATGATGTAAATTTTCTTCGCATTTGAAGTATTTATGTAAATGCTATGTAGGCATTGGCTTCAATTATTCCGAATAGGAGTTCTCCAAAGCCGTCCCGTTTTGTCGAATATGGTTGTAGATGTCGACTGTTGGAACTCCATCAAAATATTCTTCTACTAACTTTGAACTAGATGCAGTTTGCACAATTTTATTACCTCTACATCTCTTGGTCTCTTCCTTGCTAGTTCACCTGTTAGAGTCTTGCCAGAGGACCCACTGAAAGTATTAACCTCCACGCTACACGGATAAACTTCATATTTTCGACAGTCACAGTTGCTGCGATTGCTTTTCCATTTTCGTTCGGACAAGTTTCCGAGCTTCACTAACTAACCAAACGAGTTTTTGCATTTTGGAAAAGTCGTAAGAACAGCTGGTACGATGAGCACTGTCGTGTCGCAGTGGGGAGAAAGCAGGCTGCCTACCTCTCAACGTACTGAGAACTGAAGAGGGATGCAAGACGTATCTGCGGACAAAAAAAGAAAGATGCATGAGTATGAAGAGTTTAAGAAGCTGGCCGATAAGAGTAATACTCGAAACTTTTATTAAAACATACGACGGCTTACAGAAGGTTTCAAGACCGGAGCAGACTCTTGTAGGACACAAAAAAGTGATCTAATGACGAATGCCCAGAGTATACTGAATTTCTGGAGGACATACTTCTCCAGCCTGCTGAATGAAAATTAAACATCTGGAGATGTTGAACCTGAAATCATAATCGAAGACGATAAAAATAACGTTTCACTTCCCGACCATGACGAGGCTCGAAAGCGATTGCCCGCTTAAATAGCAATAAACGACCGGAGCTGACAAGCTGCATGCATCAGTTACATTGCAGTATTTGGTCGAACGAAATCATGTCCGACGATTGGAATTTAAGTACGCGCTGTCTAATCCATCAGAAAGGGGACCACACAGTCTGTGCCAATTACCGTGCGATCTGCTTGCTTAGTATCGCATAGAAGGTACTGCCAAACGTATTGTGAGAAAGACTAAAGCCTACCGTACTGATTGGACCTTATCAGACCTGGTAAATCAACCATTGAACAGATATTTACCATGCGACAAATCTTGGAAAGGTACCGTCTTTACGCCGCTAAGTCTGAATTTGGTATCCACAAAAAACTTATCCGGCTATATAAACTGACCTTAAGCAACATAAAAAGCTTTGCCAAGATCAAGAAGGACCTCCCCGAGCCGATCGATACCAAACGAGGTTTCAGACAGAGTAATTCCTTATCATGCGGCTTCTTTAATTTATTGCTGGAGAAAAAAACAAGAGCTGCATAGCATTGGGAGGGTGCAATCTCCATAAGAGTGTACAGCTGCTGGGGTACGCCGATGATATTTACATTATTGGTCTCAACAAACACCGCTGTGAGTTCTGTTGTTACCAGACTGGATAAGGAAGCCAAGCATATGAACCTGGTAGTAAACGAGCAAAAGACGAAATATCTCCTGTTCTGAAACAAAGAGTCATAGCATTCGCAATTTAGCTCCCAAGTCACTGAGGGAAGGTATAACATTGAAGTCGTAGAAAATTTCGTCTTTTTGAAACCAGCATTAACTCCTACAACGATGTCAGCCTGGAAATCCAACGCAGAATAATTCTTGCCAACAAGTGCTACTTTGGACTGAGTAGACAGTCGAAAAGTAAAGTCCTCTCTCGGCGAACGAAAACCAAACTCTACAAGTCGCTTGTCGTTCTCGTCCTGCTGCATAATGCGGAGGCATGGACGATGAGTGGGCGGTATGAGTTTTAAAGGGAAACCTTTTGCTTAAGATTTATGGTCCTCTACGAGTTCAGAACGGCGAATATCGCAGCCGATGGAACGACCGCTCCGTTGGAAAACCCAGGTTGAAAAGGACCTGCCTGAACTTGGTACCTCCAATTGTCATCTATGGCTAATACTACAATGTAGAAAACAATCTAATTATCCGAAACGTTAAGTCAACACAACAACAAAATAATTCAACGATTATTTCTATTTTATATTTATTTATTTAAATTTATTTAGATCACTTATACAAGAATTGTTCGTTTCGTCTTACTGCCAAATGAATTATTTTATTTTACTTACATATTATATGCTATTTGTATGTCTTTACTTATATGTATGTATGTATATGCATGTGAGTAAAATGTATTTCAATGTATGTATGCCATTTTTTTTTTAATAATAATAACTATACATATTTATATTTTTTTTTACAAATGAGACAATTGTAGTTTTATTCATCTAATTAACAATAGTTATAATTAAATTATTTATTTAATACAATACATACATACATTTATTTGGATTTAAAATATTAAAAAATTAATTAAGAAAAATAAAGCTTAATTTTTGTGGAATTTATATGCGTATATTTAAATAATAAATAAATATGTTTTGTATATAAAAAGGTAATAATTTTATTTGAAAACGTTTATTTGTTGTTCCACCTTCATACGTATGTAGGTATGTATGTATGTATGTATATAAATGTATGTAATATAAATATAATTATTTTTACTTACACGTTTGATTGGTATAAAATTTCTATAGTAAACAATCTACATACTGTCTTAGTATTTCTTTGTTATTATTTTGTTGTTGTTGTTTCTTGTTAC